TAAATAAATAATGTGAGTGTGACTGTCATCCTTCGTAAAAAGGAGCAAAGAATCCATAAACTTATTTCAAACAAGCAGCAACAAACATCACACAAATTTTTATTTTTTATAATTAAACAAGTTCATTTGATATTAATAAAGTAAAATAAAACAAGTTCATTTGATATTAATAAAGTAAAATAAAACTTTCATGATCATATTATTCTATAGATGTTTGTATTGTTTAAAAGAATTTCCTATGATCTGCTAAATTTGAAATTGTGAGCTTAATGGTTGGTGAGATCACAAAGGTTGGCGACCGCTGGTATAGAATGTCCAAAATAATAGAGACATCTTTATTTCAGCAGTAAATTGCAAATAATATGCAAAATAGCACACAGGATAGTATAGAATACAGGACTGCAGTAGATTAAGGGTGAATTTCTACAGAATACTGTTTTGGAATATGTACTAAATTAAAAGTTTTATTATGGAAAGAAAAAAATCACTCTCATCATTTTGTGGCAAATTATGTCAGTTCTAGAGAAGAATGTGGAACAGAATGCAATCTAGAAGACACCCTGCGCTGAATTTCCGTCAAAAATACTAATATGCAGGTAAACTTAGCAATTCTACAATGAGTCTGAGGAAAATTGCATCTCATCTAGCCATAAATGTGTCAAAGTGAACAGTATACATAATTATTTACAAAATTAAAAAACGAAACACATTTCGTTTCTAAATTGGAACCACAAAGACAAGCCTGTGCATAATTAGTAACGTATACTTTTTTTAATGTTTGGGGACTCCTGATTAGGATATCAGCAAGTCCTAGATACGAGGTATATACCTAATGCCATTTGTATAAGAATTGAAATGAAATTTTTCCTATTTCTAGAATATAATTTAATCCACTTCTAATGCAGTATTTACTAGGGACTGGTTTTTAGTAAATGACATTCATGTTATTCACTGGCCACGTGTTCTTTTGACGTTAATCCCGTAGAAAACATGTTTTGTGTCTTAGCAAGGAAAGTATGCAGGAATTGAAAGCAATACACATCAGTAGAATCTGTAAAACTGGCAATAATTGATGCTTGACACGAAAACACAGATGACAACAATGCCAGATTTAATTAAAATGCCTCAATGTCCTTGACTTACTAAAATATAAAATTTCGTCTACAAGTACGTATTTTCTAATATCAGGACTTTGTAGCATTATCTGTAAAGCCAGTATAATAAGTCCTGATATTAGAAGATACATACTTGTAGACGAAATTTTATATTTTAATGCTAGATATAGTTTAGAAATAACTAATAAGCATGGTAAACATATTGCTTATTAATAATACATAAAATTATTTATTTAAATATTAAAGTTGTCCTATTATTTTGGAACTATTATATCCTATACAACATTGTTGAAATTTAATATCATATGATATGATTATATTAATAAATTAATAGACAAATTCCCTTTTATTGTTTTGCATGTTTTAACCAGTTGCTAGATTCACATGTAAGCTGCTAGCTGCGTATTGCGTATTTTAAATCTTTCTTCTTAACAATTATGACATCAGACATTCACGTCCTTCCTTGAATTTGAGGGTTTAAAACTGCTTTTCACAGAACGTTAGAAGAATGTGATCAATGCTGTGTTTTCGTGTCTGGCTGAATTAGTAAAACGTACGCCGCTGAGTTCAGTTTAAATTTTTCCAAAAAACCACATAGTAATGCTGAAAAAACACGACATTTTGAAACGTGTAAGTTCTCAACAAACGGTTGATCGAAATTGCATAGTAAAGCTAAACTACTAGAAAACCCTTACCACAAATATGAGTCATAAAACGACTATTATTACCTAAAGTTGAAAGAGTTATTTCCAAACAGGTCACCCAAGGGTGCAGTTTTTGTTTTCGTCCCAAGTCCCATACATCCCAAATTACGTTACTGCGCCTAGCACTATTATTTGTGATGTAAGCCCGTATTTAATGTGTGGTGTATACATTTGATCAAATCAATAGAGCATTGTTTTCATTTTTTAAAGTTTTATTTTAATTCCGAACATAATTGACAATAGAATCAATTTGAAACACAATAATGTTCCGAATTACAAAATAATTTTAACACATTAGGGCACAACTAGGAATGTTAACATAGTTAGTACCAATTAATTTAGTATATTTTTTAATTGATTTTTCAAAATTTTGTATTTTAAACATTTCGTTTATTTAGTTTCACATTTACTTCTTTCCCTCTTTGTCAGAAGTTTGAGTTGTAAAAGAACGACTGAAAACAGAAAATGGGGGCAAAGGTCCTGCTTGCATTTGTGGTCCCTGCAAGGTTTGTGTTGAGGAAGGGCCTGCTTGCGTTAATGGTTGCTGCTGGTATGAAATTGACAACGGTATTGCTTGTACTTGTGGTTCTTGTAAGATTGGAACTGAAAAAGCTTCTACAAGCCTGTCTACGTCTTCCAGGATTGGATATGATGAAGATTCTTCTAACACCCTTAGTTCCTCCAGGGTTGGGGTTGATAAAGGTTCTGGTTGCATTGATGGTTTCTGCAAGTTTTGTGTTGAAGAAGGGCCTGCTTGCGTTAATGATTCCTGCTGGTTTGAAATTGACAACGGTGTTGTTTGTACTTGTGGTTTGTCCAAAATTGGAGATGGCAAACTTTGTGCAAGCTCCCGTACTATCTTCATGTCTGGAGTTGTGGTAGGTTCTGGTTGTTTTTGTGGTTCCTGCTGGATCGGAGCAGACGAAGTTCCTTCTAACTGCCTTAATTCCTCCGAGGTTGAGGTTGACGAAGTTTCTGCTTGCATTTGTAATTCTTGCAAGGTTTGTGTTGAGGAAGAATGCTTGAAAGTAGAAAATGGAGGCAAAGGTCCTGTTTGCATTTGAGATTCTTGCAAAGTTTCTGTTGAGCTAGGACTTGCTTGCACTAATAGTTCCTGCTGGTTTGAAATTGACAACGGTCTTGCTTGCACTTGTGGATCCTGCAAGATTCGAAATAGCAAACTTTGTACAAGCATCTGTACTGCTTCTGGGTCTGGAGTTGTGGAAGGTTCTGATTGATTTTGTGGTTCCTGCTGGATCAGAGCAGACGAAGTTCCTTCTAACTGTCTTAATTCCTCCGTGGTTGAGGTTAACGATGTTTCTGGTTGCATTTGTAATTCCTGCAAGGTTTGTGTTGAGGAAGGACCTGCTTGCACTAATGGTTCCTGCAGGGTTTGCTGTGAGAAAGGTTCTGCTTGGCCCAATAATTCTCGGATGGCTTTAGTTGAATCAGGCTCTTTACGTTTACTCTCTGTAAATAGTTTTTCGAATTCACTAATTGGCATGGGTGTCAGTGGTTTCTGCAAAGCTTGAGATGAGGAATGTTTTGCTTTTTTCTGTGGTACCTGCAAGGTTCTAGGTAAGGAACGTCTTTCTTTTCTCCGTGATACCAGCATGGCTTTAAGTGAGGAAGTTCCTGCTTGCGTCTGTGGTACCTCCAAGATTTCAATTTCAGGTGAGGAAGGTCTTGCTGGCATCTGCGGTACTTCCAAGATTTCAATTTCAGGTGAGGAAGGTCTTGCTGGCATCTGCGGTACTTCCAAGATTTCAATTTCAGGTGAGGAAGGTCTTGCTTGCACTTCTCGTACTTCCAAGATTTCAATTTCAGGCAAGGAATGTCCTGCTGCTTGCATCAATGGTACCTTGAAGGGTTTATATGGAGAACGTCTTGCTTCACTCACTAGTTTTTTTGAGGTTTGATGAAGTGTACAATGCATCTTATACGTTGTTATATCATCAAACTCTTTATTACATATTTCACAAATATAATTAGACCTTTCAGATTTGTGTACACTTTTTACATGGTTTTGTAAATCTCCATCATTTTGAAATATCTGCTCGCAAGTTATACATGTATATTGTTGTTTTTCTGTATGCGTATTTCGATGCTGTTCGAAAGCTTTTCTTCCAGTGAATCCACAATTGCATATTTCACACATATGCCAGCTCAATCTTGAGTGGATTTTCTTATGTATATCTAAATGTTTTGAATTTTGAAATACTAGTAAGCACCTATCACACTTGAATGTCTTTTCTGCGTGAGTTGTCTGATGATCAAGATATGCACTTTTTTCAGAAAATGTCATTTTGCAATCTGAACACGTATATTCCATTTTTCTGCATTGGGAAGCAATAAAATACACATTAGTCGAAAATACGAGTTTTGAACAATAGATTCCAGATAGTAATATACACCTAGTATTAAATAAAGGATTGAAACAGGAAATCGAAAAACGTAGTAGTAGTTAAGAAGTATGAAATGCGTAATAATATAAGTGATACAATGACAATGTAACTTCCAGTTGACACCGAAAGATACTATATAATTAATTTGGGTTTTCTATCTCTAAGGTAGTCTCCTCCTCCAGATTAATGAAAGACAGACAGACGACAGTGGAAATTTATATGTCTATAAATTAACAATTTTAAATAAAATTTTGGGGCTATAAACTGTTTTCACTATCTAATACGTTAATTCTTATCCCTAGCATTAATTACCCTTTTTAGATGATTTATCTTATTGAAATTTCCATGATGATTAAAGGGATAGAAAGTAAAAATAAACTATACAAATACATGCTTCGAGATTGATATTAAAAAAAGAGTTTAATAATTTTCAAAATTAATGTGAACAACCATAATCGAAAATGGTTTTGTTATGTATAAAGTAGCAGCAGTCACTTTTTCGGCACTCGTTCAAAGCGTAGAACAGCAATAAGCAAAGAAATGCTTATTAAGCTGCAATTCTGTGCCATTAAATATCGCATAATTTTTTTAGTTGACAAATTGCCATTAAAACATAACTAATAGACAAGAAAATACGCCTTGTACACGATAAATCTTCGAGTTTAACTGATCTATTTAAGGTATAAAGAAATGTTTACTAATTTTATCAAAGACCTCGGTAATATTTTAATGTAATTCGAATTTAAAATATAAATTAACGTTATTTTTATACTTACGGCAACTTTTTTTTTCAAAATTCACAAGGTTCCAATTTCCACGTATCTCCTTCTCAAGCATCGGTTCAGTTGCTGCTTAATTACCATAAATATACTTCAGTTGTGTTTGTGATAAATGAATAGAATTTTGAGCTCTTTGCTAATAATCAATAGATTTTATTTTATTTCGGTTTTATAGAACTAACAATGTTTTAGGAATTTGGCAAAGGATTGACGTATCATTAATTTACATAATTTATTTTACTGAATCGATTTCGGCCTCAAAGTAAAAGCAATTCCTTGTTTTATTTTTAAAATCATTCGTTAAAATAAAGAAAAATATACAGCGGTATCTCGGTACTCGAACAACTCTGTATTCGAACATGAGTTTTGAAAAAAAGTCGCTCAGTATTTGCATAACACGCGCTTTTTTTAGAACGTAACTATCGTATTATACGAGTGATATCTGTATACGAAACCATTTTAAGTATTCTTTCTATAATAATAAGTACTATACCAAAAATTATTGAAGTTATTGTTTGATTATTAAATTTTTAAAGTGAAATATTGCACTTTAAGTGAATTATTGAGTTTTTTTTTTGTACTCAAAATTAGTGTATTTAAAACACGGTGTTTAATATCAGTTCATTCTCTTCTTACAACAGCAAATACCTGTCGGTAGCTTATATAACATTATGTTTTGTTTGGTCTACCAGATGAAACAGTAAGAATAAACAGAAATTTTTTCTGAAAATAAAGATATAGTTGAGTAAATTTAGTCAAAATTATGCACGTGTCTTCTATATAGAGACGAAACAGGACATTTTGTTATTCGATGCGAAATTTTGTAATACACAGTATAATGTCTGCAGATCGATTGCCGATTGTAAGTTTAAAGAATCCGCTACACTACGAAATAACTTAAACTAGTAAACCTGCAGTTTACGTTGATCAACATTAACCTCTTCGTAATAATTTTCATGTAGTAATAAGATATTTAATATATCGGTCTCTCATCACTGCTCTCTCAGAACTTGTACAACAGTTTATAAAATGGTCTTCATAAAAGCAAGCGCAGCAAATTAGTCAAAGTTTTTCTAACAAGAGTGTTCTTCCAGGTGTAGTAGAAGCTATTGATGGCACTCACATTAAAATATCATCTTCACAGATACACGCAGTCGCGTATGTAAACGGTCACGGTTACCATTCTATAATCTTACAAAATAAGTGGTGTCACTTTTGATTCAAAGTAATTCAGTGCATGAATAAAAAATTGTCACAACGTTTCATACATTAATGTAAACAATCGCTTTATATGAATTTTCTTTTAATACAATCTGAAGTTCTACAGTACAGGTCTGCACTCTAATGATGTTTTATTAACTCCTCCGTTTTCAGCTGTGTGACAATTTCCTGGTTTTTATCTCCTGCCATGCTGGTGTGAGAACCGCGATTTATTAATTAATTTAGCACAAAAAATACATTAAATGTGTACATAAGTTATTTATATGAAAGGAAATTTTATGCGTCATTTTTGGAGAAAAAGGAAATCAACTTCCTTTCTCACACGGCCTTATCTATATATCAGTTTACTCTCTGCACTCGTTACACATCCCGTGTGTCCCTTGAACGCTATGGTGCAGATAGCCTTTTATAAAGGGGGATTTTCACACATTCGGGGCAGTTCTCGAAGACCCTAAGATGCCACACGTACTACTGTAGTCCCTGCCATAAAACCATTTTCCGTCGCATTATTTTAACTTGTGCACCTTCATAAGAGAAGGCGATCCCGCATTCATTCTCCACCTTCCGAATTCTCCGACTCTGAGAAGCTTATGTATGCTACATAAGTTGAGGTAGTATAATTCTAACATTGTAAACTCATTCTCGCGCGAATAGATTAATCTAAGAATTTAATGGTCTCTCAGAATCTTCTATTCTACTTCATTTGTTTTATTAAATTTTGTTATTGTTTTGTAATGGCCCTGTCGATTAATCTCGAACCAAGAGCTTACCGCGACTCAACTCACTCATCGTCAGCCCTTCTATCTAGTGTCGGGAATCCTGACGGGAGAGGACGATTTTAACATCCCCTAGTCTTTACCTCTTCTCTTAACGACCACATAAAATCGCCATCCTACGACTCAGTAAACGAATCTTGTGGATCGGTTGCCGGTAAGAGGTAGAGACCTTATATAATTCTACCTCCGGTTATTCTCACACTGGTGAAGATAACCTCAAGTTTTGGTATTATATATGTTATGGACAAAGTGATTAATATGAGCATTATGAATAATGACCAACAAAATCGGGCATTGTAATAAATTTCAATAATTTATCAAATTGACCGGTCATTATGAATACTGCTACCACCTAGTCGGGCAAAGTGATAATAATACGTTGAGGAGTGATCATCCGGCATAAGTTAGCCAATCAGAACTTACATCTTACTTGCTCACGCGTATTGCATTTAGTACCGAACTTTAAATTTATGTGACCAGTAGTTAATCTTTCTTCTTTGAAAGTCAGACACGAAACACACACATCTGTACCTTGAGGCGGCATCACTTCGTCTTCAATGTGTGTGAGAAAAGGAGCCGAATTCTTTAAAGACCGTCCATAAAGACATCATTCTATTTTTTTCGAATCTTTTCATTCCTTAGATTAAAGTTTGTATATACCAAAGTACTAAAACACAAGCCTGATTTATGTTGCCTCAACAAAGCACAAGTCTTCCAAAATAAGTCACTGACTCTTTTGCATATAATGCCTATCTGAAATTGGACTGTGTTATCGCTGTGGTGTAGTCTTGACGTTTGAATGCCTCCCTTCGATTAAATCAATAAAATAATAAATTTTCAATAAAATAAAAGCTGTTTTTAATTGCAAAATTATTCAAAATACAAATATTCAATAAAAATCAGTTAAAATCATTTAAAAATTTGCGAATATAGGCCGAAATAAAATTTTAAATATGTTCGTTTCATCGGTACTTTTCGTTTTACAGAATTCTATAATTATTCTAATAAATTTTTGAATTCATGTTCAACTTGATTTCATCGGCGTATATCTTTTTCTTTTATTCTTTTTCACTTCGAAGTCTCTTTGTTCATCCAGAGTTAAACTTGGATTTTGAAATGAGGAAGATCCTGCCTGCATCATTCCTTCGTGAGTAGAAGCTGGAGACAGCCCTGCCTGCATCGTCCAGTCATAAGTGTGAGCTGAAGACTGTCCTGCATGCATCATGCCTTCTTGAGTGTGAGCTGAAGACAGCCCTGCCTGCATCGTCCAGTCATAAGTGTGAGCTGAAGACTGTCCTGCATGCATCATGCCTTCTTGAGTGTGAGCTGAAGACAGCCCTGCCTGCATCGTCCAGTCATAAGTGTGAGCTGAAGACTGTCCTGCATGCATCATGCCTTCTTGAGTGTGAGCTGAAGACAGCCCTGCCTGCATCGTCCAGTCATAAGTGTGAGCTGAAGACTGTCCTGCATGCATCATGCCTTCTTGAGTGTGAGCTGAAGACTGCCCTGCCTGCATCGTCCAGTCATAAGTGTGAGCTGAAGACTGTCCTGCATGCATCATGCCTTCTTGAGTGTGAGCTGAAGACAGCCCTGCCTGCATCGTCCAGTCATAAGTGTGTGCTGAATACGATCCTGCATGCATCATTTCTTCGTAAGTAAGAGCTGAAGACGGTCCTGCCTGCATCATCAATTCGTGAGTGTGAGCTGAAGATTGTTCTGCATGCATCATCCATCCGTGGGTGTGAGGTAAAGACTGTCCTGCCTGCATCATCCATCCGTGGGTGTGAGGTAAAGACTGTCCTGCCTGCATCATCCATCCGTGGGTGTGAAGTAAAGACTGTCCTGCCTGCATCATCGATTCGTTAGTGTGAGCTGAAGACTGTCTTGCATACATCATCAATTTGTGGGTGTATGGTAAAGATTGTTCTGCATGCATCATCCATCCGTGGGTGTGAAGTAAAGACTGTCCTGCCTGCATCATGGATTCGTGGGTGTGAGGTGAATATTGCCCGGCCTGCATCGTCCAGTCATAAGTGTGAGCTAAAAACGGTGCTGCCTGCGTCATCCCTTTGTAAATGTTAGCTGAAAACAGTCCTGTCTGCATCATCCATTTGTGAGTGTGAGCTGAAGACGGTTCTGCCTGCGTCATCCCTTCGTAAATTTGAGGTGTAGACGGTCCTGCTTGTGTCATCCCTTCGTAAATGTGAGCTGAATACGGTTTTTCCTGTGTCATATTTTTGTAAATGTGAGCTGAAGACAATCCTGCTTGCATCATCTCTTCGTGAGTGTGAGCCGAAGAAGGTCCTGCTTGCTCTAGACTTTCATTTGGGTCATTTGCTTTTCTCACATGAAATTTACTATGCAAATCATATTTTTCTGTCTTCGCAGTTCTCCCAGGATCGTGAACTGTTTTGTGTTCTTTTAAGTGTTTACTAGTGGTAAAAGATTGAGAACAAATTACGCACTTAAACAGTTTTTCTTCTGTATGCAATTGCTCGTGAACAATCAATGTAGTTTTATATTTGAATGTTTCGTCGCACATTTTACATCGAAAAGGCTTTTCGTTCGAGTGTTTTGTTAAATGTTGTTCTAAACCAGATTTATATGAAAAAGCCTCCGAGCAAAATTCACACTCGTAAACTTTATGTATATCACTATTTCCATCGATTTTATCAAAACTCGTATGGCGACGATTCGATTTATCTTCCATTTTGTTATAGGTTACTTGCGGGCTCTCTGTAAAGAAAAATTCCATTTCAGGTAATAAATATAAATTTTGCACATATAAAACATTTTATTTAAGTTTTAACGTTTGAAGAATTTTAAATACAAATTTTAATGTAAACGAATTTAATAGATAACTTGTTTAATGTTAACCTTATATTTTGCATAACAATAAACTTAAACTATAACTTTAAGGTATTAAACATACTCTGCAGAAGAACTCGTCAGGTGTTATGAAGAAAACAATAATAAGTCTCCAAAACACATAGATTAGATGAATAAATTTAAATACATCAAACCGTCTGGAGACAGTATAAATAAGCAGGAAACAGATAAAAACTTAAAGATAGTTTACAAATAAGCTCTTAACATTTACAACTTACTGAAAAAATCATAAAGAGAAGCTAAGGAAACAAGAATAGGCTGGAGTATACAAAATACTTTATGAAAATCGACAGCTAGGCATCTAAAAGGATTACCTCAATGTCACATAAAAAACGTAATAGGAAAACAACTACAATGTAGGACAAGGCCATAGTAATACAATTTTAGCAGCATTGCCGCAGGTGGAAAGATTAGTTTTATAGTAGGATGATGCGAAAATCATTATAAAGTCAAATTCTCCAACTATCGCTAATGATATGGAAAAAATATGAATTTATAAGAGCAAGATGAAACAGCTGTGCCTGAACGCGAGAGATGCTAACGCATTACCTTTAGCCTGGAATTATATTATTGAAAGACGATTTGGACATAAAAACCCTTTAAATATGTGCCTCCCTATAATCATAGTTAGCTGTCATAGATTTTTGTATATATTTTTCTTATACGCATATTTATTTGTATTTTGTTAACTTTGTATACTTTTTATGTTTATTTTTTTCTATTGTTAACGTTATATTTTTTACAAGTTATCTTTGATGTTTACAATGGATATTTAATACCACTAGTTACAAAACGTAAACTAAGAAAAAAATATATTAAAAATTCTAACTCAATGCTCATCTAACAATATAAACCATTAAAAGTTTTCATTATATTTTAAACATTAAAAGAGTATTAACCGTCTAACCTGACTGTATTCAATGTCTTTTAGTAACACTGATTACTCTTAAGATCATTTATTTTGTTGAAATTTCTTTTAAGATGAGTGCAGGAATATCGATTAAAATAAACGATCCAAATGCTTGCTTCAGCATGATTGTTGTAAAAGTCTAAAAGTTTTCATTATCAATTAATAAATTAAGAATCAGAATGAAAAATGTTCTTGTTATATTCAAAGTACATGTACAGGCAGACACTATTACTGCATTCATTCGAAGTGGAGATCAGCAGCAAGCAAATAAATGCTTTCTTAGCTACTTAAAATGTTGCTTAAAAGCACCATTTTTCAATTATTACTTGATTTAAACATCGTATAAATTGTTTTACTTGACAACAAACAATGAAAACGTAATTAGTAAATAAGAAAATACGTTTTCTACTTGATCACTTTTTGACATAAAGCGAATTTGATTAGATATGAAATATTTGGGAACAATTGATATAATTCTATCACTATAAAAGTTATTGTTAATTTATTATTATTAATTAATTTTAAAATATATATGAAAGTGATGATTTTAATTATTCAATAAAGGTTTTATACTTACGAAAATCTTTCTTTATTTACAAGGGATAGTTTCACGTCTTTCCTTCACAAGTATTGGTTAAAACGTTGCTTAATTATCATGAATATATTTCAATTGTATTTGTGGCTAATGAATAAAATTTTGAATTTTTTGTTAATAATAAACGGTTTTATTTTTAGTTAGGTTTTGCATGGGAATTAATAATATTTCTGGATTTTGACAAAAAACTAATTTACATAATTGTGTAGTTTACTGAATCGAGTTCAGCAGAAAAGTACAAGCGATACCCCGGTTTTTAATTGTAAAAATGATTTAGAAATATTGCTTTAAATAAAATTTTCTTACGTTGCGAATTAATTGTGTTAAAAATTTATTGAACTTAACGAAAATATTCGCTTTAAAATACAGGCATTGTCTAATAAATTGACATTTATTCAGATGGATAATCACACCAATAACGTAACTCGTTTTATTTCAAACCAGTTATTTTGTTAAATTACTTATTTAGATGCAAGGGCGTAATCAGGATTTTTTCATAGGGGCTAAAATAAAATAACGTTGTTTATTAAAAAAGAAATGTATTTGAAGATTTGAAAACGCTAAAAGTAATTAGTTGCATGCTATTCGAACCTATGTAATCTTATTTTAGCACTAGCTTACGGGAGTTCTGGGTAAATGTTGTCAAAATTTCTTTCTCAAATTTAGTGCTCACTAGTGGCCAAGCGGTCTTTGTACCCTAAATATTGTGAGTTCGGTAGCGGATTCCCGCCTCGCTCAGACAGGCTGGCCAGGTGCAGTTTTCCGCGTTTTCTCCATATCTGTAACGCCTGAATAGGGGCCAGTTTTCTTTAAATAGACCTTCCGGAAGGCATCCCCCTGGGCATATCGCCCGTGTTTCGTTACCATAAGTTAACAAACAAACTTTCCGCCACGATTCAAACAATACTATACAATAGGTTATAATAGTAATGCCGCGCAATACTATTATAACCTATTGACTAATAATTTTTCGTTTGATTAAATCAGCCAGGGTGGGGCGCTTGAAATCCGTATCTTCCTTGGTAGCGGTCCTTTATAGTTTTAATATCCTGGTGAAATCTTTCACCTTGTTCTTCACTGGTGTCTCCTAAATTTTTAGGAAAACGGTATAAGCGACTGTGTAAATAGTCCACCTTAATACTCGTATTACACCCATGGAATTTGAAACTGTTAAGCATCTCTTTTGCCGGTTCAACATAATTTTCAGCTTTGCGTTTGCCTAGAAAATTTCTGACAACTACAACAAATGAATTCCAGGCTTTTCGCTCAGCTTCATTCATCGAATTTAGGAAGGCAAGATCGTTAATGAGTTGTCTTATTTGTGGGCCGTCAAATATTCCTGCTTTAATTTTTTCTATACTTAACTGAGGCATTTTTCCCCTATATATGCAAAGCATGATCCCTTCTTATCAAGAGCCTTTACAAACTGCTTCATTAGGCCTAGCTTGATCTGCAGTGGAGAAAAGATCATTTTCTCTCGTTCTACCAAAAGTCGTTAATGACATTTTTTTCTCCAACGTCCATTTTCTCTCTCTTAGGCCACTCTTTTCTAACCCAGTGGTGTGTTTTGTCTCTGTTAGAGGCACAACAAGCAAGGATATTTGGTGTAGCCAATTTGCTGTCCAAAGAGAAAATTTACCATTTTTAAGTCTACACAAATTACCCATTGATGTTTACGATACTTTATCTTTTTCAAGACAAGAGCTATGGCGTTATATTCCTCTTTCATTTTCGTTGAGTGAGCAATTGGTATTGAACCATATTTGTTCCCATTGTGTAGAAGGACACATTTCGAACTTCGTTTTGAACTGTCAATAAATAGGCGCCAATCATCTGAAAAATATTTAAAAAGGCCCATTTTTTTCAAGAGTCCTCTAATTTCGTGACAAAACACAAGATTGTCTTCTTGAGAAAAGAAGGGTAGCAGATCCTTTTCTCTTGTACGGTAAAAAATAATTTTGGTTCCTTGCTCCAGTAAATTTTTCTCCTTCAACCTGTAAGTCAATAATTCAGAAGCTTTTTTTGGCAGGTTGAGATCTCTGGTGAAGTCATTTAACTCATCCTGGTTGAAACATTGAGGAAATTATGACATTCTGTCGTAATCACAATCACCTTCATTAGGGTCAGAGAAATACTCGTCCTCACAGAGCTCTGTTAGCTGGTGAAATGATGGAACTGGCACTTCCTGTGAGTGAGGGACCGAGCATCTTGCAGAGACTAAATCAAGATAAATCCACTTGCTACGGTTGTTACGATTAATTCCATTAATATTTACTAGGCAGAAATAACAGTCAGCGAAGTGATTTTTGGGTTCTCTTCAAACTATTGGTACGCGAAATTTCAGACTTTTTCTTTTGTCAGTAGTCCACTGTTGTAAATGTTCTGTACAAGTTTTACAGACCTGATGCGGTGCCCAGCTTTTATCCTGATCACCAAGTTCAAAACCAAAGTATCCAAGATAAGCTAAGCTCTGTTTACAAAGTAACTAATAGTTTTTCTGTTTTTTTAACGTATATTCTCTGCATATGTAGCAAAACACATCAGAATGATTTACACAACTTCTTTTACTTGAACTCATTTTATTTCTATTCAACAACACAAATAAAAGCATCTAGAACACAGTACTTTGTTCTTTGTTTCCCTTTCCTTCTAGGACTTTCCTTTATAAACGACAGTTGAATTGAAGAAACGACAAACGAATCATGTAAACTGAACTGTATTTGAATAGAAGGCGTATCTTTCACATGTTTTTCCTGCAGGATTATAGTAGAAGACCCTGATCGCATTTCTGGTTTTATCAGGGTTTGTATTTTACAAGGACTTGTTTGCGTTAATACTTTTTGCAAGATTGAATGTGAGGAATAAACTTGAGATCGAAAACAAAGTTCACTCTGAAACGGTGTCTTTTTTGCATGCGATTTCTCATGAGCATTTAACTGAAATTTATGTTTGAATCCTTTGTTGCATATTTCACATCGAAAACGCCTTTCGTTCGAATGTGTTCTAAAGTGTATTTTTAAATGTGATTTCTACGAAAAAGCCTTTGAGCAGTATTCGCACACGAAACTTTTAAGCGGATCAGTTTTGCCACAGTTTCTTTCAGAACTCGTCTGGCGACTGTTCGATTTATCTTCCATTTTGTTATACTAGCAGGCTCTGTGAAAAGACAAACTGCATTTCAGGCATAAATATAAATTTTGTACATTAACTCTTAAGCTGTAAATTTATTCGCTTGTGCCAGTAAATATAAGTGGAGTATGAGTCGACCAAAATGGCTGCCACAAAGGGTATAGCGTGCGTGACAGCATACTAGAGTTACATGTGTATTGTCTTTTTAATATCTTTTCTCTCTGTAGTCAAAACGTTTTATTTGCATTTGTGTCCGACATTAATCCTAGTTGATTTTGTAGTTGTTTAAGTCACGATGATTATGAATATGTGATTTTTTTGATCACATATTCTAAATACATATAGAATCAGTGGTGATATTCAGCGGGTTCGCACAGGTTCGGCCGAACCCGTTGTTAACATTTTCAAAGTTTTCCGAACCCGTTGTTAAACACACGTAACATTTCTCAATAGTTTTGTTTCTTTTAAAAAATATATTAAAATATACGTATTATACTCTGTAACACTACTAAACTAGAGCTTTATACCCCGTTCGCCTTGGTGCAACCTCCATCGACCGTTTCAATCTCGACTGAAACCAGGTTTAATCGCGATCGATTGAAGAGAGTTCTTGAAACTAGGTCCAATCATACGAGAGATCCCACGCACGCGAGAAAATACAAGATGGCTGCGGAACACGTGTCGTGCTATCGACAGCGAAATAAAAAAAATATTGTGTTTCGAGAAACGATGACATCTGTCTATTATTATGACGGATACCCTCACCCCCAGCCACTGGCAAGCTGTCGCAAGGCTAAGGGACCACTGCTCAATTAACCAAGCAGAATCCCTGGCCATCCTCCGTGCTCTACAACACATAAACAATCATCCCCAAAGGTTTCAACACGGCAAAGTAAACATCATCAGCGACAGCAGGATTGCCTTGTGGCAGGTTAAAAATGAAAACCACAAGCTTCCAATTGTCAACGACAGCCTCAAGATTCTAAAACATTTAAGGGACAACAATATACAAATCTACTTCCACTGGGTCAAGGGCCACTCAGACACTAACGGAAATGATCGGGCTGATGACCTAGCCAAAAAAGCCGCTAACATTACTTCAAAAATCCACTATCAGGCCCTACCACTCACGGCTGTTCTCAGCTCTCTCCGTTCCATTATAATTAACAAATGGCAAAATGAGTGGGACAACAGCACCACGGGTCGCTACACGTACGCCTTCATCCCCAACATCAACCAAAGGCTGAACAATCACGTCTTCCATACCAACCACGGCCTGACCCAGATGCTCACAGCACATGGAAACTTCAGGGCATACCTCAACAGGTTCCACAACAAGGGTAACGCCAAATGCAACTGCGGGATTCCAGAAGACGAAGACCCATTCCACATCATTTTCACTTGTCCGAACTACAACTCTCAGAGGAGACCACTCCGCAATGAAGCAGACTCTGAAGGACTTCTTTGGCCATGCCAACTGAAAGACCTTGTTAACAACAACAAACTCTTCGAAGCCTTCAAGACCTTCGTTTCTAAAACCAAATTAAGCATCTACTTCAACGTGGCAAGTAACACAAATTAACGGATCTTTTTCGGCCTAACAAGGCCGGTCTTCCTCACTCTACTCTAATTTCCTCCAGGTAACCCCATACTGTACTATATACCCCCACCCGCCAATACAAACGGGTGACTGTTGTTCTCTCATGTT